GGTTTATGCTGGTCATGTGCTGGCAAAAGGACCAGCATAAACCAGCAAAGGAAAAGCTTAAACCAGCAAAGGAAAAGCTTAAACCAACATCCCAGCGTCAAAACTTACCTAACCAGCATATGCTGGTTTTTTCAACAGGGAGACTCCCATTTTGACAGTTTACACAATGTGTTGTGAAAACAGGTTAAACCAATTGGGCATTTTAATGGGCAAGAACGGTGGAAATGTTCAAAAGTTTTGTGCATTAAAAAAAAGCAACTTTTAAAAAAACATGAATTGAAGTAAAACGTGTGACAACTAGCCCCGGCGGTTTCCCCCTACAGTATGCAGAGTGAGAATATGATGTTTACATTTAACTCGAGACTTAAAACACTCACTGATATACGTTTACTGTAACTTATAAGGTTCTGAAACAGTTTTACATAAAAAAGACAGAAGACTGTAAATCCAAAACACTCAGTGATTGAATCAGTTTGTGTTAAATCAGCTGACTGACAGACGGATGTTGTTCCCTCAATAACCCGCATTAATATAAACACACGAGAGGAATCCAGAGGATATTTAACAGATGCTGCCTCATTATTACACTTTACTTCACTTTATTGGGTAAAAGTGGAGTTTGTGAGTTGACTTACCCGCAGTTCTGCTGCTCCGGTCACTGATTTTCCCTTTATACGCCTGAACATTAAGGTTGGTTGTGCATCACACTTTTTCCTTCCACTCAACTTTCTGTTAACATACTTGGATACAGCACTCTGTGAACAGTCAGCTTCTTTGGCAATGCATGATTGTGGCTTACCCTCCTTGTGAAGGGTGTCAATGATTGTCTTCTGGACAACTGTCAGATCAGCAGTCTTCCCCATGATTGTGTAGCCTAGTGAACCAAACTGAGAGACCATTTTGAAGGCTCAGGAAACCTTTGCAGGTGTTTTGAGTTGATTAGCTGATTGGCATGTCACCATATTCTAATTTGTTGAGAGAGTGAATTGGTGGGTTTTTGTTAAACGGGAGCCAAAATCATCACAATTAAAAGAACCAAAGACTTAAACTACTTCAGTCTGTGTGCACTGAATTTATTTAATACACAAGTTTCACAATTTGAGTTGAATTACTGAAATAAATGAGCTTTTCCACGACATTCAAATTTATTGAGATGCACCTGTACATTGAATAAGCTACAAACTCGATCATAATGCACAATGTTTCCATATAACTTCTATGTAAGTTACTTCTATGTAACTGGCGGTTGGCAAACCAACTAACATGTATTTTGAGCTGCAGCTCGTCATTTTAATGGAGTGTTTCACTAGTTAGCAATAAACCGGTTAACTCACCTGAATTTTTTTGTTAGATGTTATATTTGGAATGGAAATATTGATATTTTATTTGTAAACATCTTTTTTTTTTGCTTATTTCAGTTTCATCAAACTAGGGAGCTATGCCAGTTGTAGTGCTGACAGTGTGAACATGGCTGAAGACTCGAAAAGAGGAACAGACAAACCGAATCAATCGAGTGAGTCGTTTACACTGGAACCGCTCCGATTGATTCAAACTCAAACTCGATTCACTAGCAAAAACAGATCAAAAGAGCCATTCATTTTCAATTTTCGACATCGCTTGTAATGCTTTTAAAAAGCACGCAGTGATGCTGAAACGGTGCTTTTCGAAACTCCGAGTCAGTTAAACCATTGTGTCGCAAAATGATTCACTGTTTGAACCGGATCGCGAATCATTTGATTCAGATCGGGACTTCGGAGCAGGTTCGCAAATCTTTATTTTTTTGTATTTTTTATTATTAAACAGTAGAAAACATCAAACTATTAAGGCAGTGCAGTTATAAAAACAAAACAAATAAATAAATAAAGAAGAAAGTATAAATACAAATCCCTTAAAAACCCTGATTTTACTATAGTAAAATTCTAGTAACCATGTTTTTTTTGTATAACCACAGTTTTACTACAAATACCGTGGTTAGTGTAGCAAAAGCATGGTTAATTTGTGTGTGGTGGTGGATAAATTCAGAGATGCAGTTTTGACTTCTTTAGGATTAACAGAGTTTGGATAGTTTCCATGTACTCATCTAGATCAACTTTGAATAAAGAAAAGAGGTTTAGAGCCAGATTTGTGTTAATGTATGTGAAATCTAGCTAGCAGGAAACAAATTAATTAAGTTATATTTTCCTATATTCTCGTTGGATCTTTAAAACCGAAAGAAAAGTCACAAAATGAGATTTGGATGAACATGAAAAAATCTGACATTGCCAAACAAGTGAATGAATCTTCCTCAGAAGAGACAAAAACAGCAACTCTCTTCAATGTCATAAAACAGAGTTACATTATTAATATGTATCTGTCTGATGTGTTCTGACAGGCTTGAAGAATATATTAAAATACTTCAAAGGGAAAGTAATAGAAACCTTATGAAGTCAACCTCAATAGAACATTTACATCATTGAATTAGAAGTTAGAAATGTCATAAAGGTGTAAGATTTATTAAGTATTAATCTGTGAAGGGTTATATAAAATCAATGCGTGACAGTCTACTGTAAAATACTTCTAAAAGCTCACATGCTTTTTAGTTCACACTGTTAATTAAAGTTCAGAAAAAAGAGCAAATGATTAATATTGTTCAAAGACTACATTTCACAAGAACAATTTTATTAAAACCAATGCACAACACGAGCACAACTTACATTCAACAATATTTGTCTTCCAAAGATCTTGATATTTGTGATACTAATAACAGAAGTGGACCAAATCAAATGTCTTTAAATGTCAAATCGGGATCTTTTCTGTCAACAGAAACACAAGTCGAAAATAATAAAGTGGCATTCAGTAGCATACAGATGCTGTCATATCTATCTAATTCTGTAGTAGTATAAATATCTTAAAAGTGCGCTTATGGTTTATACAAAGGGTAATTGCGACTTTTCATCCCAAAATTCAGACTTTTTAATTACAATTCTGAGATAAAAAAATTCAGAAATCCGAGATACTGTAAAAACTCACAATTCTGAGGAAAAAAAAAGAGAATTGAAAAATAAAAAGTCGCAATTAAAACATTTGTTATTCAGTGGTGGAAAAAAAAACCCAGAATTGCAAGGTTTAGGGATGAACCGATATGAAAAGACAATTGCACAAAAGGCTGCAAACGAACAGCGCGCATCTGAAGTGTCTCTGAAAGAAATAATGCATTATTTACCGGCTTTAAGATATCGGCCAAATTTTCTTATCGGGCCGATACTGATAACAGAAAAAAAAGAGCATTTATCGGCTGATACCGATATGGTGGCCGATATATCGTGCATCCCTAATGCAAACTCAGAATTCCGAGAAAAAAAGTCACAATTCTATTTATATATATATCGCAATTTTGAGATTATATCTTGCAATTCTTGCAAACGTTTTCAGAATTACACAAAAGTTTTCAGAATTGTGAGAAAACAATTTGCAAGGACCTTTTTTATTCCGCGACGGAAACAAAATTCCACACACAAAATCTAACAAGGACATGTTCAGGTCATATTTCCCCCAAAACCAGAAATAAACAAGAAATTACATTTTGCATAAAGAAAATAAAGCCTATTTTAAGATCATCATGATTTTTTTGTAACATTTTTATGACAAATTGCCAATACTGTAATACAAATAATAATAATGTATGCATCATGATGTTGTTCTGCCTTTTAATTTATTCTGATAAAACACTGTATTACTGTAAAGTACAATGCCTGTCCACAACTGGAATTTGAAGGAAAACGGTCATCGATTCTGGGGTGAAATGTGAGCTGGACATGTTTTCATGAGATTCCCTCAGTCATTAAAGTGACCTATTGATGCTAATTGGACCATTCTGACTGTAGTAACAAAAGAAAGAATTCAAACAGTTTCATAAAACCTCCTAAACAGAACTGAAATGGTCCCTTAACACAAAGCAAATAAAACATATGCAATTGTTTTTTTTAGAACGACCTAAAAGTGTCTGTTATGGGTTTGAAAATAAATAAAGCTTATAAGTTGAAACACACCTTCACAAATTGATAATAGTTCATCACAGTACAACACAAGCTATATTGCTGACATTTTACAAATGTGAGAGTGTATGTGTAGAAGCACAAACGGCCGGCTGACTGTAAGCATGCATCCCTGAAACTGCTCCAGGTCAGTGTGGGACAAAGTTTCAGCACCTCCAGACCAGGACCGGTGGAAAATCACCCGCTAGGGCTCCTGTCGTTTACACAGTGCAAGTCAAGCACTCGCAATCAAACCAAACCAACAGCAGAAAGAAGATGAATCGAAGAATCATCATCCGTTTCAGTGCAAATAAACCAGGAACCTTTCAGAAACTCTCACGTCCGGAAGAGTGAATCTCACAAAGCCTGGTGAGAATTCAACCCAAAAATCAAAGGAAAAACAAAACTAAACATGAATTTAAATTTTGCTCAAAAAATGACTATTTTAAGGGTGAAATATAGTTAATTACACTTAAAATGTCATTTAAAAAATATAATGTTTAGGTGAAATGACAAAGATTTGAAAAAGAAAAAAAAAACATGGCTAACATTATTAGAAGACTTCATGTAAATAAAAATGAAACATAATAAACCGGTTAACTGTAAGAGTCAGAGAGAGGGTGAAAAATGGTCTTTTTATTTATTTATTTTATTTTTAAATTTTTTGATAAATGTAAATATAATTTGACAGTTTTTGGTGCACAAAAAAAATTATTATTATATGACTTAACTCCCAATAATCCAAAAAATATATATATTTTGCTGAATAAAAATAATTTAAGGGTAAAATATGGTTAATTACAATTTAAAAATGCACATATCTTATTTATTTTTCTTTAAGCAAAATATATTTTGGGGTGAAATATGACTCAGACAGGAGGAAAAAAAATTGAGAACTTAAAATAAATAAAAAAATGATTAATTAATTAAATAATACAATATAATGTGACCATTTTAAATAAGTGTTAAGGACAATTTAAATTTAAAAATGCACATATCTTATTTATTTTTCTTTCAACAGACTAATTTATCTCTAAGCAGAATATATTTTTGGGGTTAAATATGACCCAGATTGTTGTTTTGGGTTGAACTGTCCAGGATGTTTTTGTAAGATTCATCCGATAAAGATAATTGACGGCTACAGTATCTCAATGCAGTGTCATGACCTGCGTTCTCTTCCATTAAAACACTTTTATTCATTATTATGAGAAGCAAAACAACAAAACACTAGAAATAATTCAGACTTGAATCTTAGTGTGTATCCACAGTCAACGTAAAACAAATGCATAACTCCCAGCGCGACATGAAGCCGTGTTTCTGATGCGACGTTCCGTGACTCGGATCCACAGACTCAGTAGTAAACACAAGCCTTACAAATCTCTACTATGTTAATGAAGGAACATAAAAGTGAAGTGGGAAGAGATCCTGAAGGTTTCTGGCATCAGTCTTTCTTCTCCTCCTCTGTGTCGTCTTCAGACTGCGCTCCCTTCTGCATGAGTTTCTCCAGCGTGGAGGAAGAAGAGGGCAGAACCTCCTGCTCTCCGTCCTCAGTCTTTCTCTTGGTGCTTTCCTGCACAAACTCCTGGATCTCCAGTGGAAGCCGCCGGAATTTGTCCTGGTATTCCTGATCCAGGTCGTTCTGGATCTGCAAACACAGGCCAAAATATTACAGTTCAAGTCTACAGGGAATCAAAAATTACCTTTAGTGCATCATTCAAAATCGAAATCCTTCCTTTTTTGACTGACAGCAATAGTTTTGTGTACTAGGAAAACAAAACTTCTTCTAAGTCCAAAATGAGCATTTATTGAAACTCAACTGCAAAAATGTTTCATTTCAAACTTTAACGGCCACATTTACACATCAGTGAAACCTATTATATGTTCAGAAACAAAGTCAAAGTGAGGTAATAAGGAGGATAACCAACAATAAGACATATAAATAATAAAACATAGAAAAGTCTGTGAAAAAAGCAAACAGAGTCTGACAGAGGGTGGAAAAACATCCTGAAAAAATTAATTTGACCGTTTTTGGTGAAAAAACAACAACATGACTAACAGTATTAGAGGACATAAATAAATAATAAATGTGGAAAAGTCACATTTATTAGGCAAATAACAGCCTGTTTAATTGTGAGACAGAGAGAGGGTGGTAAATGGTCCAGAAAAAATATATAAATTTAAATATAATTAAATAATCCATTTAAATGTATTATACATTTATCATATGACAGAGAAGACAAACACTGTGAAGTGTGAAGAGTCATGTTTGCTCTGGTTTTTGATGATGAGAAATGAGAAAGTCTTTCACCCTCTTGATGTGCTGCACCACCTCGTTCACATACGACCTGTTGATCTCCAGCTTCTCCCTGAAACCAGACAGAGACTCTTACAGTGTCATGCGAGGCGTTTAACAGTGTTTTATTGCCATCTAGAGGACAGTTTTATAAAGAATCATCAAAAATCCTTCCATTCCCTTTCTTTAATTGCCTCCCAGAACATGAATAAAAAATAACCTGAAAATAATCTTTTTTCTCTCTCTCTCTCTAAAGAGATCTGCAATTAGTTTGAAGATGATTATTTTATATTAGCATATTATATTGTATAAATTGTGTGTAATGTATTAATGTTTTTGTAATATTACACATACTGTATAGTATAGAGAAAAAACAATAATATGAATTTATGTTTCCATACACACACAGAAAATATGATAATATTCTTAGATTATTATTTAAAATTAAATTCAAATATATTACATAATTTTTAATCATTTGTTGTATTATTTATACAAACATACACACACACACACACACACACACACACACACACACACACACACACACACACACACACACACACACACACACACACACACATATATATAATACCTGTACACATATACAGAAAACAATAGAATAAAAAAACTATGACAGGTCATTTCAAATAAAATTATAATATATTACAATATAAAACAATGCAATATATATATATATATATATGTGTGTGTGTGTGTGCGTGTGTGTGCTTCTACTAAATACTGAGCAAAGGGTCTGAATACTTAGGACCATGTGATATTTCAGTTTTTCTTTTTTAATAAATCTGCAAAAATGTCAACAATTCTGTGTTTTTCTGTCAATATGGGGTGCTGTGTGTACATTAATGAGGAAAAAAAATTAACTTAAATGATTTTAGCAAATGGTTGCAATATAACAAAGAGTGAAAAATTTAAGGGGGTCTGAATACTTTCCGTACCCACTGTATATATAAAATATTGTATTTAGTACTGCTTCTAAAGAGTCATTTGCGATCCCGTCTCTAATCTGACCTGTTTGATGTGCTCTTTCTTCAGATATTTCTCGCTGTAATACTGCTCCTGACGCAGATTGAGGAGCTGCTGCTGCTGCTGTTCTTTGAGTTCGGACAGTTTCTGTCCGCTGTCCTGATCCAGATTGGCCAGCTCCTGCTCGAAGAACGAGGCTCCGTGTTCAGGACTGGACGACAAACACCTGACGAGACACACCAGTCCGTGAGATGTTCATTCTCCTGATGGTTCTCCACTCAGTCCAAACAGGGATTGGATCAGCGGACGTCTACCTACCTCTTCTTACCGTCTCGTTTGGCAGTTTATTCATATAAACATTTTTTATATTATTAGTAACACCAACAACAAACTAACAAATAACATTGTATATAATAATAATATTTTATATGTAATAATGTAATATAAAACAAAATAATATTGTTTTATATATAAATATATAATAATATAATATAATATAATATTATATTATATAATAAATAACCTGCCATTGGTTTGTTTTAGCCTCTTTTTTTGTCTGTATATCTTTATAGAAAATTCATTGAATTTATTTTGTATTTTACTTTATTTTATTATTAATTGTTATTATTATTATTTATCTTATTTGAAATAACTTTGTTGTCATGGTTCCTTTATTCTATTATTTGTCTATATGGTATCATTACAAAGTTAATTCATATAAAAACAATAATACTATAAATGTAATTTAATTAATAATATAAATTTAAATTATATATTATCATATATTAATATAAAATAAAGAGTCAGTTACTGACCGGTGAGGACGCTCTGAATCAGATCTTCAGTCTTTGCCGCTGGTTTGGTGGAGCCTGAATCATAACGGGATAAGATCTCATCAGATTAGATTCATGCATATCCAATAATTCTCCTAATTTTTCTCTCCTGTCTTGTGGACGCTAGATTCGGATTAGTAGTGGACAGTACAGATTTATAGTTCAGTATGGAACCTGCATCAGATGAGATGATGTTGTGTGAGGTGTGTGAAGCTCTGACCTGTGGACTGCGGCTGTGTGCTGATCTGGGACACGGGTTTAGGAGCGGCGCTGCTGGGTGTGTGACTCAGTCCGTTCTCAACCGGGACGGGTTTGGGTTCGCTTTTAACCTCCGACGGGTTTTCAACACCAGGATCCGCCTGAAGAACAAGGAACTTCATCATCAAAACCTCCAATACTATTCAAACTCTCACAGACTGCTTCATTACTAATTCATTACAATGACTTCTTTCATAAGCAGATGAATTCATTAGTAATGAGTAATGTGATTAGAGTTCAGATGCTGATCTACTATGTGATGGTCACGCATACTCCGTCTGAGCGCTTCAGCTCTGGGGATCTGCTGGTGTCTGTACCTCTTTGGTGTCTTTCTCCTCTTCTCCCTCCTCTAGAGTGAGCGCCGCCAGCTGTTTGGATCTCTGCTCCATCAGGTTGACGTATCTGATGGGGTTGGACAGCGCTTCGATGACATCTGATCAGCACAGAAACACACGGCAAACTCACAACACACTCCAGTCCTGCAGCTTTCAATTATAAACATTTTCACTAAATCCTTCAAAAAAACATCCAAAATAAACGACAAAGAAATTCTAAAATATTCTATTTGATTTGATATAAAATTGGCATTTTAGTTTACTTAACTATTAGCAATAATCAATTTTTAGTTAACAATTTTAACTTTCTCACAATATTTTGCAACTTCAAAAACATCCGAAATAATAGTCAAAAAAATTTATATTTTTAACATTTTAGTTTACTTAACAATTAACAATAATCAATTTTTAGTTAACAATTGTAACTTTCTCACAATATTTTGCAACTTCAAAAACATCCGAAATAATAGTCAAAAAGATGTAAAAAAATATTACATTTGATTTTATATATGACATCAGCATTTTAGTTAACAATTATCATTTTTCTACAATATATTCTACAACGTCAAAACTATTTAAAAATATTATATTTGATTTTATATATGACATTAGCACTTTAGTTTAGTTGACAATTAACAGTTTTTTAAAAGTTAACTATTATAACTTTTTCACAATATTTTGCAACTTCAAAACCTTTCACAAAACATCCAAAATAATAGTAAAATGATTATATTTGATTTTATATATGACATTAGCACTTTAGTTTAGTTAACAATTAAAAAATAACCGTTTTAGTTAACAGTTATATATTTTTTTTTACAATATTTATTCTTCAAACCTTTCAAAAATAATAAGAATGCCCAACAGATAAAACCCACTATTTGATTTGATATAAAATTGGCATTTTAGTTTACTTAACTATTAGCAATAATCAATTTTTAGTTAACAATTTTAACTTTCTCACAATATTTTGCAACTTCAAAAACATCCGAAATAATAGTCAAAAAAATGTAAAAAAATATTACATTTGATTTTATATATGACATCAGCATTTTAGTTAACAATTATCATTTTTCTACAATATATTCTACAACGTCAAAACTATTTAAAAATATTATATTTGATTTTATATATGACATTAGCATTTTAGTTTCGGTAACAATTAACATTTTTGGTAAACAATTATACATTTTCACAATATTTTGTAATTTCAAAACCTTTCAAAAACACCTAAAATAATGGTCCAAGAAATTCAAAAATATTATATTTGATTTTATATATGACATTAGCATTTTAGTTTCGGTAACAATTAACATTTTTGGTAAACAATTATACATTTTCACAATATTTTGTAATTTCAAAACCTTTCAAAAACACCTAAAATAATGGTCCAAGAAATTCAAAAATATTATATTTGATTTTATATATGACATTAGCATTTTAGTTTCGGTAACAATTAACATTTTTGGTAAACAATTATACATTTTCACAATATTTTGTAATTTCAAAACCTTTCAAAAACACCTAAAATAATGGTCCAAGAAATTCAAAAATATTATATTTGATTTTATATATGACATTAGCATTTTAGTTTCGGTAACAATTAACATTTTTGGTAAACAATTATACATTTTCACAATATTTTGTAATTTCAAAACCTTTCAAAAACACCTAAAATAATGGTCCAAGAAATTCAAAAATATTATATTTGATTTTATATATGACATTAGCATTTTAGTTTAATTAACAATTCTTTTGTTAATTGTTTAAAAAAAACTATTTTTTTTTTTTACAATATTTTGCAACTTAAAAAAAGAAGAAAACCTCCAAAATAATAGCCCAAAGTATTCAAAGATATTACATTTGATGTTATATATGACATAGTTTGCTTTGTTATTTAACAAATAACAGTTTTTAGTTAACAATTATAACGTTTTCACAATATTTCGTAACTTTTATATGACGTAAGCAATGGTTTGCCTCTTTTAAAGGCTTTTTTCTTAAAGTGACATTTTGCTCATACAAACGTAATATCTGAAGATTCATAACAGTTGGAAACCCTCAATGAAGAGGGCTTTTTTTCTTTCTTTTTGGCATTTTATGGGTCAGTTCATCTTTTAAAAAGGCCAGAAATATTTTGAATATGTTATATTCAACATTTTCATAATAAAGAGCCAAAAGTCTAAAACTATTATCAATAACTTTGATCACATTCACATAAGATAAAACTTCTGACATTGGGTCTGTATCACTGGTGATATAATATTCAAATACATATTTGCATATTGAATGAATGATGCCTCATTTCTAGAAGTTTTCATAAGTGAAGTCACTTTGTTTCATGCGGTTTTAATAAAGCAAAGTTTGTGTTTTCTGACAGTGGCAGAGAAAGTTTCAGATAGTAATGAGTTTCTTACCGGCGAATGTATCGGGAACGTAGTCCTTCACCTCGATATTCACAAATATAGCGGGAAGAGTTAGAGCTTGATTCTTTTCATTTCTCAAACCGATGTAACGATAACCTGTGAGAATGTGACAAAATTAGGTTTTAATAAAAGAAAAGGAAAAAGTTGAACTATATCTGCATTCCACGTCACAAAACGTCTTATAATAATGCAATGCAATACAATAAAATACAATACAATGCTATTTTTATGTTGCAAAATAATAATACAAAGTTCTTATTAATATACTAAAATAATCCAACTCTAATCTAAATTAAAATGCTAAAAAAAAAAAAAAATCGTATCAGAAAAATGTATCTGTATTTTCATATTTTCATACTACTACTACTACTAAATTATTATTAATATATTAAAATAATCAAACTGTAATCTTAAAAAACACAAAAAAATATATATAAACTGAAATCATATTTCCCCTCACAATACAATAAAATAAAAAGTACAACTATATTATTATTATTATTATTGTTGTTGTTAATAATAATAATAAATTAGTATTAATATATTAAAATAATCTAACTCTACATTAAATGTTAAAATTCCATATTATTATTATTATCAATACGAATAATAAATTAATAAAATATTAAAATATTCTAACTCAGTTAAATGCTAAAAACACAAAAAAATCAAAACATAAACTGAAATAATATTTTATATCCCTCATAATACAACACATTAAAAGAAAAATAAAGTAGAGTATCTACATCTTCATGTAGTAAAATGTATTATTATTATTATTCAAATATTAAAACAATCTAAAATAACACGAAATTAAATGCTAAAAAACACATAAAATCAAAACAAACTGAAATAATATTTTATATCTTCGAGCAATTAGTATTAATATATTAAAATAATCTAACTCTACATTAAATGTTAAAATTCCATATTATTATTATTATCAATAAGAATAATAAATTAATAAAATATTAAAATATTCTAACTCAGTTAAATGCTAAAAACACAAAAAATCAAAACATAAACTGAAATAATATTTTATATCCCTCATAATACAACACATTAAAAGAAAAATAAAGTAGAGTATCTACATCTTCATGTAGTAAAATGTATTATTATTATTATTCAAATATTAAAACAATCTAAAATAACACGAAATTAAATGCTAAACAAACACATAAAATCAAAACAAACTGAAATAATATTTTATGTCTTCGAGCAAGGGGTTGTAACTCTCCCTCACAATACAATACAATAAAAGAAAAATAAAGTACAACTATATCTACATCCTCATGTTGTCAAATGCATTATTATTATTCAAATATTAAAACAATCTAAAATAACACGAAATTAAATGCTAAACAAACACATAAAATCAAAACAAACTGAAATCATTTTTTATATCCTCCTTCACAATACAATACAATAAATGAAAAAAAGTACAACTATATCTGCATTATAGTACATAAAATAAAACTGTAACAACCTTCAAGAGTTACCTTCAATAACGATTGTCTTTTTTAAATGAAGAACAATTCTTGAATCACAATAGATCGCAGTTAATCGATTTTATGTATGGATGCTCCCAGATTCTGGTAATAAATGACGTTTGTGTCATATTTTAGCCTATGTGTGGAGAAGGTTTTGAATATTGTGTTCAACTTCAAAGTCATAAATGTTGAACAGCCCTGGTTTAGTCAGTATGAATGAAACGCCGGTTTGTTGTCGTCAGTGTCGGGGAAAGTTACTTTTAAAAGTAATGCATTACAATATTGCGTTACTTCCTAAACAGGTAACTAATTACGTTCTTAGTTACATGTTAAAATTCCATATTATTATTATTATCAATAAGAATAATAAATTAATAAAATATTAAAATATTCTAACTCAGTTAAATGCTAAAAACACAAAAAATCAAAACATAAACTGAAATAATATTTTATATCCCTCATAATACAACACATTAAAAGAAAAATAAAGTAGAGTATCTACATCTTCATGTAGTAAAATGTATTATTATTATTATTCAAATATTAAAACAATCTAAAATAACACGAAATTAAATGCTAAACAAACACATAAAATCAAAACAAACTGAAATAATATTTTATGTCTTCGAGCAAGGGGTTGTAACTCTCCCTCACAATACAATACAATAAAAGAAAAATAAAGTACAACTATATCTACATCCTCATGTTGTCAAATGCATTATTATTATTCAAATATTAAAACAATCTAAAATAACACGAAATTAAATGCTAAACAAACACATAAAATCAAAACAAACTGAAATAATTTTTTATATCCTCCTTCACAATACAATACAATAAAAGGAAAAAAGTACAGCTATATCTGCATTATAGTACATAAAATAAAAATGTAACAACCTTCAAGAGTTACCTTCAATAACGATTGTCTTTTTTAAATGAAGAACAATTCTTGAATCACAATAGATCGCAGTTAATCGATTTTATATATGGATGCTCCCAGATTCTGGTAATAAATGACGTTTGTGTCATATTTTAGCCTATGTGTGGAGAAGGTTTTGAATATTGTGTTCAACTTCAAAGTCATAAATGTTGAACAGTCCTGGTTTAGTCAGTATGAATGAAACGCCGGTTTGTTGTCGTCTGTGTCGGGGAAAGTTACTTTTAAAAGTAATGCATTACAATATTGCGTTACTTCCTAAACAGGTAACTAATTACGTTCTTAGTTACTTTTTATTGAAAGTAATGCGTTACGTTACTTTTTAAATCTGGGCTGGGCTTGCTTGTTTGCTTTTAATATAAAAAGTTCTATTTTTGGCAAACGTAAAAGCCCTTTCACACCAAAAGCCTCAGGCTGAAGGAAAAATTAATTCACGTCTGTACGGCAGAACGCAGAAGAAGAAAGTTCAACACTCTTCAGCAATAAAAAAAGAAGAAGAAATGTTAGTTTATCTTGTGTAATTTTTGCTTATTAGTATGGTTGGATCATCGAAGGTCAGCAGCAAATTGGTTAATAAAATGGGATTAAATACATAAAGGATATTTGTATTATTTAACATATTTCATTATTGCAGCTTTGAGTCATATTCTGAGTTGCTTTTGACTGTTTTTATTAATTTTGAGGAAAACTAAATCAGATTTTTTTTTTTTTTGTGAGTGAGTGAGATGGATCAATGCATGTTGCTACCCGGTCTCATGGCAAAAACGTACCTGGGGGCACATTTTCGCACGAAATACGTACCAATAAGTACGTATCACTGCAGTTTCCAAAAGAAATGAACACTAGAGGCAGTAAAACTCCGACACCTTTTAAATTATTTTCACACAGAGTATGATTTACAGAGCTTCGATTAATCAAGCGTAATTTTCGCACAATTACTTGAAGAGTATTATGTTGTGACTTCAAAACATTTTTAACATGCTGGGAGATTTGAAAACTGATGCTTTTGAATGTTAGCACCGCACATATCCAGCTTCATATCAATGGGTTTTCATAGACGATAGGTTTGTTCGGTAGCTAGCGGAGTACGGAGACGTACTTGAGAGGCGAGGAGCTCCGGCGTAACTACGGTTCGACAAAACAGTTCAAATCTGCATATAAGGAAGTTAAAATGGCACGGTTGCATCAAAAAATGTGTTTTATATCAGTTTTGCATTTGTTAACACTATCGTAGGTTTAGGGTTGGGTTTGGTGTAGGGCATATTTCCAACACGATAGAGCATTAACTTTTAGCGACAGTCCCCGGATATTTGAATTCTGAACCGCCGCAATACGTACCTGAAGAAACGTAATAAAAACACAGCAATACGTAACTATATCAACGTATTAAAAACGTGCCAGGGTTGACGTATTGAACCCATGTCGAAACATGTAATAAGGCACGTAAAAACGGTGTTGCAGAAAAGTACCCAGAGGTACGTATTTTTATGAGACTGGGTTGGCATGTTCACATTTATTCTAGAGCTGAAGTAACATTTACTCCCGTTTTCTCTCAACATGGGAACAGGAGAGCTTTCAGTCAATAAATGGGAAAAAAAGTAACTCGCGTTACTTATTTGAAAAAGTAACTTTCAACTTTTTAACTTTTTAACTTCAATTAAAGAGTAATGCGTTACTTTACTAGTTACTTGAAAAAAGTAATCTGATTACGTAACTTGCGTTACTTGTAATGCCTTACCCCTAACACTGGTCGTCATGACTGTTAATGCAACTCTATCTTTACTATACAAAGGCTGCATGAATGCAAGAAAGAAAAGACCAATCATATTTCAGTATGCAAATACTGTGATGACATAATCACTGCTTGTAAACACAGACTGAAATGAGTCTTTAAGTCACATGGCTCAGGCTGATTCTCACCCGGACGAATGGCTGAGACGGGAATGATGCGATGGCCGATGAACTTGCCGCCCTCTTCATACACGGCTATCCTGAGGGACGCCAGCGTGGGCAACACCACCTGACCCGGAAACAACACCGTTATTGATTTCACGCGCTCCGAGCGTCTGACGGACGCTTACAGGACACCGAAAACAGCCCTACTTTTTTAAAGACGATGGGCTCCTCGTCCCACACAGGGTTGATGGCGTTGCTCTGGGACGTCTTTGTCTTGAAAGCTTTTCGTCTCGTGTCGACGGGAAGTCCAAACATGTCAATCTCCACATAAACGCCCACCTTCTTGTCAGTTAGAAACTGTCCTGATATGATCTGAAGAGACAACGAGATATAAAGGAGCCTGACACTATATCAGAATTGAAAGTGCTTCAGCTACAGCTAGTTAAAATTAAGTTACTAACAAAACGAAGGGAACGATAAGGGAACAATATTCTTTAAATAATAGCTAAATTACATCATTTTTACAGTGTTTTTCTGGAGCAAAAACAACTTTAGCATTAATATTGAACATACAACATTTAAATTATGAATGGTTTCATTTTTATAGTGTTTTTCTGGAGCAAAAACGAATTTGGGCATCAAAACTGAATATATGAATTTAAATGATAAATTATAGCATTTTTATAGCATTTTTCCAGAACAAAAACTAATTTGACAATCAAAATTGGACATGCATTTAAATAAAAAAATTCTATAATTTATACAGTATTTTCCTGGAACGAAAACTAATTTGGGCATCAAAATGTAGCATATTTGAAATGAAACAAGTTACAAGTTTAAATTATAAATCATATCATATTTATAGCATTTTTCTGGAACACAAACTAAATTTAAACGATAAATTATTTCATTTTATATAGTAATAAAACTAAAACAAAGACTAAACAAATTTGAACAAATAAATTAAAGTGATAAGTTATATAATTTTTATAGTATTTTTGGGCATCAAAATTTAACATATATTGTTAAATGATAAATTATATCATATTATTTTTCTCCTAATTTGGGCATCAAAACTGAACATAAATTTAAATTATAAATGATATAATTTTATATTTGGTCATTGAAAAATTAGATAAAATACTAAAAAAAAAAAAATGATGACAAACTTCGGAAAATTTAAAATGAACTAGAAATTTGAAAAAAAGGGAATGGCATGAGAAATCTAAATAATTTTTTTAAAATATTATTATTTTTTAATATTTACTTTAAATTATAGAATGTATTTAGAATGTATTTTTAAAATATAAATTATCATATTTTTTTGTAAAAGATGGCCAACAAAATTGAAGATATACATTTAAAATATATATTACATAATTTTTATAGTGTTTTCTGCAACAAAAACGAATTTGGGCATCATAATTGAACATAAATTAAATAATAAACAATATAATTTTTATAGTATTTTTCAGGAATAAAAATTAAGTTGGCCATCAAAATGGAATAATTAAATGATCAATTATATTATTATTTTTCTGCGACAAAAAACAATATGGGAATCAAAATGGAACACCTAAATTTAAATGATAAATTATGTCGTTTTATATAATTTTTTCCAGGGGAAAACCTGGGCATCAAAATGGAATATACACATTTAAAAAAATAATAATAATAATAAAAAAATAAAAAAATAAATAAATATATATATA